AGGGGACACCCTGGACGGGATGCCAGTCCATCACAGGGCACAGGACAGGGGACACCCTGGATGGGATGCCAGTCCATCACAGGGCACACAAACACGAATGCTCATCTAAAGTACAAAGATAACATGATATGGAACTTCACATGCTCTGCTTAGGGTAAACACAATAGAATACTTTTAGGGGTTGTTGAAGGATTCACTCTTAAGATTTTAATATTTCACTTCAAAGCTCATTAACCTCCAGTTTCCACTGCACATGTTCCCGCTCATCAGCTAATATTTATACAGCTCCAGCAACCTATGAAACCTAAATCAGCAACATGCTGCAGTCACATAACAGCAGCAGAGGCAAAGCGGGCAAAAGGTCATAAAACAGCAGGACACTGTCCAAACATCAACGGCTGCTCTACAGTAAACAGCCACCCTGTCGCAGAATGGGCCGGCCCACAGACAATGCAGTGGTGAAGCCGATGGTGGGCGGCTGTCTGCATCTGCTGAGCCCGTGGGGGTGGCCCCCCACCCTCTGACAGACATTCAGGTCAATGGATGGATGGATATATAGACAGACAGATAAACAGATAGAGCTGTGGAAAAAATTAAGACACCACAGCAGATTTTTTTGTTTGTCATTTCTCAATTTATGGGTGTGTGTCTGTGAATAAAATATATATTTATATATATATAGCAAACTGCAGCCTGGATCTTCCCTGTTTCTCATTGATGAAGGACTTCTCCTTTGCTATCAGTCCTGCTTCTAGGAGCCTGATATGAACTGTCCTAGCAGTGCACTTCACACCTGCACTTAATGTTTCCCATTCCTTTCCAAGGTCACTTGATGTCATCCTCTGATTCATGAGAAACTGTCGGATAAGTTAATGGTCATCTCTGACATTAGAAAGTCGCTAACCTCCATTACCTGGCTGATTTCTGGTCGCTCCCAGTGTCTCCTGCTTCACGTTATTCTTGAGTGCTGCTGTCTTAGAAATTTTGAACTCTGGAAGCAACCTGCTGCTCAACGCAGCCTTCTGCCAGCAGAACCACGATTAAAGAAAGATTTAAAATTACAGATTTGTTTAGAAATATAGAGTTGACTCAATTTTTTCCATGGCTGTAGATTGGATGGATGGATGGATGGATGGATGGATAGATAGATGGATGGATATTCATCCGGAAGGAAACTGAAGGTGGACAGTAGCACAAAAATTATATTTAGACAGTAATAAGACATTTAGACATCCATAAACAGTAACAGTGTATAATAAATGCAAATAAACAGAAGCAGTGCTGAGTGACAGGGAAAGTGTTGCACGGAATTCTGTAGTAACGGCTCAGTAATAGGTAGTACTGCACAGTGGGTTGCACGGTGAATGAATGAATGCTCTGTGACGCAACACACTGGAAAGAGAGCGAACAAGTGGCAGCTGAGCTAACAAGTCGATCACGCAATGCGATAGAAAGAGGTGGACAGGCAAACGGAAGACGGCTCCAGAGCCGCCGGCTCCACAGGCTCCAGCCCTCTGCGGCAGGGATGCAGGACGCCGGCATCTTTAGCCCAGATCTCACAGGCCGGGGGCCTCGCTAGCGTGCCGCCCCTGTATTGATCCAAAGCAAAGGAATGAGAGCAGGCTTCCTGTTTGCAGAGGAGAGAGAGAACAACTCAATTGCTGGAAGTGAACAATAGGGTCAAGGTGGAAAAACAGAGGAGGAAGAAGCGGGGATCGCCTGGAGGTCTGTCTCTGGAGAGCGGACATGTTATTTCATGCAGCAGGCACTCTTATCTAAGGTGGTACATAGCACCCCCCACTGTGTAAAGCTAGATAAAGTGCCATAGCTGGCCAGGTCACATGACTGACACCTCAAACTGCCCTGCCCAGCTGAACCACCCAGACAGACCCAGAGTGTCACCTCAGAAAGCAGCCTGAAGTGCACAGCCCTCCAGAGAGGGTGACAAGATAGGAAAGGCATGCCCCCCCCCCCCATTCCACCCACACCCACTGGGGGGGTGAGTGCATTACCAAGTGCTCAGGAATGTGTCGGCCCTGGAGGTAAACAGGTAACCGCCGCAGGAGGGAAACGGCCTTGACCGCCGGCCATTGTTGCGGGGGGGCTTTGTTTGTTTTCCGGCAGGCTGGGGGTTGACAGCACTCCATTGCTGACACACATACATACAGGCATACACATGCACATACAGGCGCACACACACACACACACATACACACACACATACAGGCACATACACGCACATACACACACACATACAGGCACATACACGCACATACAGGCACATACACGCACATACAGGCACATACACACACATACACACACACATACAGGCACATACACACACATACACACGCACATACAGGCACATACACGCACATACAGGCGCACACATGCACATACAGGCGCACACACACACACACACACATACACAGGCGCACACACACACAGGCACACACACATACAGGCACACACACATACAGGCACACACACATACACACACACATACAGGCACACACACATACACACACACACACACACACACTGACACACCCCTTACCTGCACATGCCTCACCTTTGCTCAGCTGTCCTGAGGTCGCCATTATTTCACTTTACACCTTCTGCTTGCATACCACGCCCTGACATGTGCATTTCCATGGCAACCATGACGAATGCACAGATCTGTGACGTAGGCCGACGGCTGTCATGGCATCCGCATCGCCATGGTGATGGACAGGGTCTGGATTCCTCATACTGTCATGCTACAGGGTTGCCAACTCTCACACTTCTGGCGTGACACACTTTCACACTCGCATGCTCATGCAAGACATCTTACAGCAAATCTATATTATTCCATTATAAACCTAAAATTAGCTAAATCAAAAGTGTTGGGGAGGTTTGCAAAACCTGCAGGGTAAGGTAATACAACTGTCACATACACGTAAATGCATATGCTGTGTCTTGAATTCCCAATCTCACACCAGTTAGCTGACCAGAGTTGGCTACCCAGATGATGAGCAGTCTGATAGCAGGAGAGGGGCCGGGGGGGAGGGCAGCTATTCCCCTCAGTGTTGCCCCCAGGAGACTTTGCAGATTACACCCGCTGGGATAATCCTGGATCCTGGTATGTTCCTCCAGCGGGAATACCGTGGTGTGTACACCTCGCCACGAGCAACACTGAAAACCAAGTGGACAGAAGAGCCAGAAAATCTCAGCATGCCGTGCTAAACGCCTTTGGGAGGATAACGACTCGAGGAAGATCACTGGACACCATTTTAAAGAGGATTGTATACAATGAGCCAAAAGAGAAACAACAACAAAAAAAAAACAACCAAAAAGACCAAAAATCACGAAACAGCAACATTTATATCATGACTAACACAACTGATTTAAAAAACACATATTGAAATAAGATGAAAATTAAATTAGACTTTTTTTAAATCCCCATTCTGAAAAATGAGGCACTGATAACCCAGTAAACTGGGAGACACACAGGGACTGGTACATCTGCCCCATAACACCGGCTGAGGAGCGTTAATCGCGGGCTGTGATTTATGCCCTCATCTCCAAACTGAATCCCACGCCGTTAATCTGCCGGCCCTCCCTGGCAGCCCGGCTGAGGGCCGCCGCTCTCCGAGCAAACAGGACGCTCTTTCTGCCGTCCGCCAGCGTCTCTGTTAGTCAGCTGCCGTTATTTTTACGCTTCTCTCTGGCTGGGACAAAGGCTGCACTTTCAGGCGGCGAGAGCATTTCTGTAAAGCTGTTTGCTCGGGTTAGGCGTACACCCTGGCTCATAAACGACCCCTGTGTCTGCGCGACATCCTTTACAGCATTCCCGTGAGTCGAATTCCTGCTGGCTGTCTCACGGCTTCCTGACGGAAAGAGCAGTTTGATTAAACCAACTGTAAAAAGGTGTGTGTGCGCCCTGAATGACCAGCTTCATAGATGCGGGATTCTGTCAGGACGTAAATCATTCTTATTAATCACAATTTAGAATACTGGCCTGCCCAGAGAAGCCACTCGGACTGGAAGTTCATAAACTGCACAATAACCAGCTCGCAGCAAAAATGAGAATGTCGTCTCGCAAGAAAGGCTTCCTCAGTCAGAGCCCAGCAGTGCAGGGCAGACCTGCTATTCTGTATGCAGGCGCCACATCTCCAAATGTCAGATTTCACCCCTGAGGAAACCAGACCCGAAGACGGCCCTGAGGGTGAAAGCAGAGAGCGAACTCCGTCTAGCTGCGGTCTAACAGAAGCTACTCCAACGGCACCCCCTAGTGGTCATTTCAGAGCACTGCAATATGAAGGACTGAATTAAAATACAACCAACAGGGACATCGTGGAGACTACACAGAAACGTTCATTCTGGGAATGATATACTGGAGTGTTTTGGGTTTTCAGCGATGTAACCCAGCTGAGGATCATCACCGCCAGTCAGCACAGTAATTTGTCGGCGTCGGGACTCTCACAGCTGACATAAACCGCACGGCGGGTGTGAAGCTATGGAGACGGCGCTCCGCAGCCATGAGAAACTTTTAATAAATGAGATTAAAGGCTTCGAAGCGTTTATCCGTTTCGGGTCTCCGCCCGCATTTGCCGAGGAAGGGGAGGGGGCGAGTGAGGCTGAATCTGTGACTTCCCTCCCCAGCGCATATAAAAGCTGCGTGAACGGCCACCCACCACAGAAGCTTTAAAGATCGTGCCTCTGGGTGATCCCCCCCCCCCCCCCGTGGTGGAGCCCCCCCCACACCAAACCCTGTGCTTTTGTTGTCAGTCATAACTAATCCCCCCACTGTGGTGGGGCTCTCCTTCATCACACATAAAATCCAGCACTGATAATAAATCCCTTCCCCAGTTTAAAAAGCCACCGACAAACTGCAAACATGGCACTTTACAGCAAGAGTGAGGCTCCCATTGAAAGTAAAACTTCATCAGACAGCAGAAAAGCGAGCTCATTAGCACCATACACTGTATACCACTACATATAAACAAGAAAGCCAGTCACAGAGATGTTTCAGTTTTTATTTTCATTCGTTTTTTTTAGGAAAGTACATTTAAGACGGGAAGAAAACGATTCACTAAAGCCTATACTTAAGCTTGCAACACAAACTTGTAAAACAAGACCAGGGGGACTAGAGTGGGGGTTTAAAAAAGCCATTCACAGCATTTTAAACAGCTGTCAAAGTGACCCCCCACCCCCGAAAGGCAGAATATTACAGTGAGGTGCTGATACTGTCAATCTTCAAAAACAAAAAACACAAAAAAAACCTTCAAGAAAAAAATGTATAAAATCAGTCAGGAAGTCCACGTCATTGGGAGGTGTCCATTTGAGCTCCCTCTGAAAGCACAGAAACAACACGGTTTACACGAGCATCTTTACATAACTACCAAGACAGCCCCCCCCTCAGAAAAGGAGCCCCGACAGCACACTCACGGGTCTCGTTGAATAGGAAGGAGTCCTGATACTCCTTCATGTACTGTGAGGAGCGAGACTCATCCAGGAAGAGCGAGTACACACGCTTGATGTCCTCCACCTGCACCTCGGTGCCCTGCGGGGCCAGGGAGGAAGCGTCAGTTTGGGTGGGGGGGGGGTCAGCAACCTGCTGACATCCCAGGAAGGAGCCTTGGCCTGAACTTAAAACTGAGAGGTCTGGAGTATTGTTCATAAGGGCAACGTGAATCGCTGGGAAAGGGAGGGCGGTGAAAGGGAGCCCGGAAATGGACCCACCCCTCGATGCGCCTGCAGGGGGGGGCAAGCTGCCCGCACACTTTCAGGACATTAAACATTCAACATGGCTGGCACAGGGGGTATTATATCATGCCAGGAACTGTACAAACACACAAATCATGCGAGGTAATATGAAAAGTTACAATGAACTTCTGTTTCTGGGGCAATAGGTGGCGTAGAGGTGAAGGACACGGGTACGAGGTGAGCATGGCACCCACCCTGCGCTTCCGGCACACCAGGCCGGCGGTGCTGATCAGCTGGATTGCATAGCGGAGCGAAGTCTCCAAGCCAATGCGGGTCAGGACCGTGTGGGCTTCCTCGCTCAGCTCCACGTCCTCCTCCTCACACCTGGGGGGGAGGGGGGGCAGAAGCAAGCAAAGGGGTGACAATGGAGGCTGAACCCAAACCCAAAACACCGTCTTTATTGTCAGATTCGAATCACAAAGATAACCGCAGGGCGGAAGCTCGTTGGCACAGGAGGCGGCGTGCTTTGGAAGTTACCGGATCTTGAGGATCTGCCGGGTCTCCTTCTCAGTGTAGGGCGAGGTGGCGATGATCAGCAGGCGGTCCAGCATGTCGATGGGGATCCCGTGAGGGCTCTGGTAGTTCGTCCCGCGGATCCTGCAATTTGGAGGGAAGGGTCAGGAGGGATCATTCGGGAACGTGGCGGCCGACCGAGCGGGGAGTGTAATTTGGGAGCGGGGAGCACCTGGTGATGCCTCGGTTGGTGGCCATGATGAGTACAGGTGACAGGTCACTCTCTAAAGCACGGTTCAGGAAGGAGAAGCACTCCATGTCCAGCATGTGCACCTCGTCGATGAAGAGGACCTGTAATAATAATAATAATAATAAGTCAGAGAACCTGAAATCGTCACGGTGAACAGTGATCACACAGAGTTACGCCTAGTAGAGGTTAATGCTGCGTTTCATTTACCTCGGAGGTTGGAACTGGGAATGACGTCACACACGAGTTAACAGCATTCCAGTACAGCAAGTCGGAAAACCATTTAACGATACCAGGGTCCTGTTTCAAACAGCAAGACTACTTGCTTAGCTGGATAACTTGTTGGATTTAATTTAACCCAGTTTAAATGGACTTTATCTTCGTTCACTTACATTTAGCCCAGACTACGTTAAATCCTGCTTAATGAAACAGGCCCCAGTTCTAGCCCAGTTAATTGTTAGCCATATCAGTGTATAACACATCACGCAATATTTTGTGCATAAAAACACCGTAGCAACATGTCCACAGATGGAGGTTGGACAGTCATTTGTGTATGACCGATTTTAATGAGCCACAAAGAAAACTAAGTGCTAAAAAAACAGTATAAAACTATTGCTTTAACTTCTGCTGATAAAAGGCGCAGCCATCTTGAATTCTGAGCTCGGGGTTGTGTTGATACCTCCAAGTTCACGAGTTGGAATTCTGACTTCAGGGGGCGTTACAGTTGAAATTTCCAACTAGGAACACGGAATTTACGAGTTTCCAGTTCAAATGGAACGCAGCATAACTACAGGCAGCTCTCTACTTACAGAAAACTGAAGTAGATCCAGATTTATTTAAAAATCTCTGATACTTAAAGTTTACAGAAGCACTAACCCCAAAAAAGGCAACACATGCCTGTAAGTAAACGTACTCTCTCTTTTCATTGATTTAATATGTGTTCTTTAGTAAGTATTACTAATATTTTTTATTTTTATGTCCTGAATGGTCAGGGAAAGTAAATCTGACTTTCATAAGGGTCTGTGGAACAGATTTCTTCATGTCACTTGAGAACTACCCGTATATCAGTACTTCAGAATCAAAAATATCTGAGGAATGCAGCAGATTTACATTCCATGCGATACAAAAAAAAATGTAATTAAAAGCTAAATAATGCAGAATATTGTATTCCTACGTGTTTGGCCACAGTAGTATACTAGTGGAATTTCTATTAACCTAAATTTTGCACATTTTGAAGATGTGAACTAGAAACTCCCAAATTTCAAAAATACGTTTAAGAAAAAAATATATTTATGTTCATTAGAGGTACTTTTTGTGGCAAGCTGAAAAAGAAGCAATTCACAAAACAGCAATGAAAACAGAATTTGCAAATCAATGGACATACAGGACATAACATTCCTTCCAAGGCTACAAGAGCTAGTCCTGCTCCATTTGAAGTACAAGACATAGATCTTAAATACTGTGGGCTGATACAGAGTGAGTATCATTCGTATGACACCCATTAATGGGAAGACATCCTGCTCGCACTTTCACTGTGGTAATTTAAGCAGAGTGTCCATGGGGGCTGTGGACTGACCCCTGGGATGATCTCTGCTTTCCCTTCCTCTCTCCACTCAGAAACTTTGGCGTTGATCTGTTCCCGGACCTCCGATTTGATCTCGCCGGTGTCACCTGCCATGTCAAACAGCACCCACACGGGTTAGCGGATGGAGCCCCTGCCTCGTCGTCACGGTGACCAAAGGCGGAGGCGGGGCGGACCTGAGAAGAGAGCTAGGAAGCCCTGTGTTCGACTGTTGATGACGTCGATCTCGTGGAGCGACACCGTGTGCACGACCTCCTTGCGCTTCTGCAGCTCCCCCTCTGGGCACTGGACAAATTGCGTCTGCAACGTGGCAATGATGTTAGCGGACGAGGCACAGTCTGGGGGCAAGCGGGAGCGAGCCCAAGCTGAAGCAGACCTACCTGCGCCCCCATGGCGTCGTAGTCGCGGGCTCGGGTGAAGGAGCGACCCAGCTTCGTGATCTTCCCAGTGGCTTTGTCGATCGTGATCACGTCCCTGTGGAAGACAGTAGCCAGAATCAACAGCTGACTACGATCGGGGTCACGATGGATCAAGCCAGTGGTGAGAAAGGTCCGGAAACATACCCTGCTTGCACCCGCTCCTTACTGAGACTCTCAATCATTTTGCTGCCCAGGTCATAAATAGTTTCCATTTCTGTTGTTTTTAGGGTCAATTTGCCCACCTTTGCCCCCTACAGGACAAAATAAGGAACAAAACATTCAATCATGGTGCAGCAGCTCCATGCAGTTTCACCCGCTGCAATCACTACAAGTAGGGAAGGAAAACTGGCAACAAGAGAGGAAGAGAAAACAAATCCATGATACTACCAAAAGTCCTCCTCGTACAGCCAAAGCCATTATTAGGGTTTGGTCATCCTGTAAAAGCCACCAAGCTCACCTAGAGACCCAGTCAAAGGCCGGCCAACTCAGAGACCAAACAACAGAAAGCCCAGCTCACCGTTCCAGTAGCGGGCCTGTCGATCTGGATCTCTACGACTTCTCCCTCGATAATCTCCGTCTCCTCCCTGTAAAGACGACACGACATCTGTACAACCGCTATAAAAACCAAAGGAAGAACATCCCTAATTCCATTAGAGCATCTTAGCCCCGCAGGACTGTGAGTTCTGCACTCTGTCCACGGCCGGTAAACGTGCTGGAAGAGTCTCAGGACGTAAGAGGAGCCCATTAAGTAATGGCGGAATCTTTCCACCCCAACCACTGAATTCCAAAGAGCCCTCTCAGGTAAATGAGTACTACACGCCACAAGAATGATTGCCGTGGGGAAGAAACCTAACTAGCTTACATGGTTCAGACCCCCACAGGACACGCGCACTAGTTCCCCCAGCATCTCATTTACTTATTTATATGTATGGGTTCTGTGTGAACCAGTTTATCTATCAGCTTTTTAACTGCTCTATTGCACAGCTTCAGTCTGTGATCTTTATCACCGACTTTTCCAGTCTTGTGACTGCACTGACATACCATGCCAAATGTCCCATACAAACACATTTACTTGGCAATAATAAAACAGATTCTGGAGAGCACAGAGGCTAAGAGAAAAAACAGATGCTGTATAAACAGGTGGCACTTTGGGGCAGCTTAATACAGATGCAAAGGACTCCTGGCAGCACCCACTTGATCCGAACGCCGATGGCTTTCCGGAAAGCCTGGCTCAGGGCCTCCGTCTTGCTCATCTCCAGGGAGAAGATCTCGCTGCCGGCGAGCGCTGTGAAGGGTGTGTCCGTGCCGAGGGACTGCGCAATGCCTGCAGAGCCAAAGGGGAGCAGCCATCAGCGCCAGCTACCAGTCATGGGTGCAAGGCCCGAAATGACAGTAAGGGGTGCCAGTAATACCCATGGCGATGGCGGTCTTCCCAGTGCCCGGCTGGCCGGCGATGAGAACGGCCCGGCCGGCGATGTGCCCATCTTTGATCATCTCCAGAATGAGACCTGCTGCCCTACGGGAAGCCAACTGGCCGACCATCCCCTGGGACACCTGCGAGGAGAGGCCAGCCATCAAAGGCAGGCACTAGGAGTGGGCACCATGAGAAGCGGACAGCCAATCGGGTCAGTCAGAGGGGAGCTTACCTGACGAGGTTCTAAGGCATCATCCAATCCGAGGCCGCGAATATGAGAGTGTGCACCTGGGCAGACCAATCAACAGACAGGTCTTAACTTCATACTTAACATTTAATGCTAAAATCCCAGCTGACGGAGTGACTCATAGACACAGCAAAGCCAATATCAACTTCCTTTTTAAGTAGTGTACAAACACAAGTATAGGTGACAAAGGACTATGTTCAGAAAAGACAGTACATAAAGTATTAAAAAAAAAACCTTCAACCTGTAAATGTAAGGATAAAATTCTCCAGTGCTCACCGATTCTCTCAATTCTGGTGATATCACGCACCTCTGGAACCTTGGTTGCTGCCATCTATATAGAAATCAACAATGATAATATCAATTATACTTTAATGTTTAGGAGACTGGCTTTAGGCTAAAAAAAAAAAAGTTCTGATGCTGTCAATTTCAATTATCTGGTGAACTTGACCAATTACCAATTCAGCTATTACAACCACCTATTTACATCTGCCAGTTAGAAAAAGGTGCTAAAGTAAAACAATGTAAATGTTTAAAGTGAATTATGGCCTGATTACCTATCAAATTTGCATTATGTAAGCTTTGGGTTGACATATTGAGTCTGAGCGACGTTGCCATAGTGACGGTTACCCGCCACAACAAAGAAACATGTCAGGATATGCTTTAAACGAGAAGGTAAAATAATACAGTGCTAAAATGCTAAACATGCTAACTGCCAAGACAACTCACAACTAGATAAACTAATTCATAGCTAAATTACGTACTAATCACACCACTAACCCGACCACATTCAATAAATCGCTATTCCGGTTATATTAACGTATCTAGTGAAGACCACCCTATATATAGACATTAAAGACAGGGAACATACACCTATGAACCAACCAGTTTTATAGCCAGTGTAATTTAAATTACTTAACATTTTAATTTAATGACAAGTCAAGAGCTAATTGTGTGGCCATTGCGGATTCGTAAACAAAAACTGCGTTTTAATCAGCAAGATATGACAAATCAATGATTAAGGAAATTATTCAGAAAATGTACGATTAAGTGTATAAGACAACAAAACTTATAATGAACATTTATTTGACTGCTAATGTTGCTAATTTCATTCATCGCTTGACTGCCTTCTTTACGATAAATTGTCAAGAAATACATACTGGAAATAACCCTGCAAAACGGATTAACGCAGCGCAATTCCACGCCTTTTACTTAAAAACACCAGGAGGAAACATATATAAAGAAAGCATTTATTATAGCATTGCACAGCGTGGCCTCACCTGAGCTGCCATACTTTTGAAAATGCGGCGGCCGTTCCACAGCGCGTACGTCCGAAATCGTTCCGAGTAGGAACTGCATTCAGACGTCAACAGTTCCGGAAGTTAAAAGTTCCGGATGTAAAATATTGCGGACGTCAAAGGTTACGGATATAAAATTTCCGGACATCTGAACTCTTTTTAAGGGCTGACAGATATCCCTTGACAGAACCAACCCCAGTAAGCAAAGGCCGCTTTTTAGGCTAAAACAGTTTGTCCTCCACCACGGTGTAACTAATGGTGTGACACCCTCAGAATGAATAATTACTGAACTTAAGTAGCTGATGATAGTTTATACCTGTGAACTATCATCGCCCATAAAATTTAACATACATTTTTACACTACCAAATAATTTTTTTGCTGTACATAAGAGAATTATTGTTGTATACTGCACGGATATTGTGATCCAAGAGACTGTTATACCCTTTATAACAGGGGCTGAAAATTATGGTGTCCCAAAGCCCTCAACCAACAGATGTAAGGCTGTGGTCCTACAGAGGGATGAGCTCGCACATCCTGGCCCAACCTGACCCCCCTGCAGCAGCTGAAGATGAAGACGCACTGGGAGAGGAAGGTAGGTATGTGGCAGGGACCTTGGGGACTGTGACATGCCGGCTATGGTGGCCTCCACGGCACCTTCTGGACTAAGGGGTGACAGGGGATGGTTGACATTGCAGGTCCAGTATGAGAGACTAATTATGTAGGCTACTGCCATGCCTTGCACAGCACCATCCGTATATGTAATGGTGCTATGTAATGTGTACATTCAAATGTTTTCTGTTGTAAATGACAAGTGTTATTACCTTGTAATGTTAACTGTGCAGTGCATCTGTTTTACTAGTGCGCACCGTGATTGTGAGTGTCATGTAAATGGCTGGCATAACTCTCTGTGCTGCTGCTAGTCAGCTTTGGCTGTGCTGTAATAATAGATGCAAACTCCTTGCTTTTAATAAAGAGCACGCCTGTTTTCTAAAAACATCACCCACAATGCAGGTCCCGCTGCAATAATTTAAAGCATGAGTGTTCAAATTACGGTCTTCAAGGTCTGAGCACTACTGATTTTCCAGCCGCCTTTACCCGTGCCCAATCAGAATCAGTCATTATTAAATTAAGTACCTGGGAGAACAGAAAACAAGGCTAGTCCAGATTTGAAGGCTCTGCCCTCTGTTCAATAGGCGCATCATGCTCAACAAGTTTATCTCAGGAAATAGGAATGTACCAGTGATGCTTCTTTCATTTTGGGAAAGCCTCAGCCATTAACAGCCCCCACTTTTCAGGAGAATTCCTCCTGTGCCAGGCTCTCCCAGTAACTGTAAATGCTATGTGTGAGCAGCAGGGGGGGGCGTAGGGTAGCAAATCACAGTAAGACACTCAGATTCCCTTTATAATCTTTTATTAAGTAGTTTATCATCATTTGAGAAATTATAAAAAAAATTCCATCCATCTATTGTCCAACCCGCTTATAAAAAAAATTAAATTAAAAAATCATTAATCCATTGTTTAATTGATAAATGTGATTGTTAGAGGGTCATTTACAGTAACGAGAAAACTCAAGAAATAAATGTCTTTCACCCAAATTAATAAAAACTTGTTGAATTTAGTTTTATAAAATGCTAAATAAGACTTCACATCCCCCTTGAATTTAATTTTTGCTTGTCTTTTAAATCACAGTATGCCGTTATCCATTTTGTTTGTCAGACTGATTTAACCAGAATGCTGAAATAAAACAATGCATAACAATGCATTTACAGTGCATTTACAGTGCATTTACAGTGTATTTACAGTTGGCATATGGTTATGGCAGACTCATACCAGACCCAGAAGCCGGCATACAGGGTCTCAGTGAAGGAGACCTGGAACCTGTGTATTAGGGACATCGTGTCGGAGACCCCATAGAAGGACAGCGTGCCTGCGGAATAATCCAGGAAGACCCCGATGCGGGATGAATACGGTGCTTTGATCTCCACCTGATCCTTGTTATGGCAGGCCGAGTAGCTGGAGTCGGAGCAGAACAAGCTCCAGGACTTACGGTTGTACCCGATGCGTGATCCGTCGCCGTAGCCTGTCCGCTTGATTCCGTTGTAGGTTACGCCTATGGATGTCCCCTCCCCGCTCCATTCCACCTCCCAGTAGTAACAGCCCCCGGACAAGGGCTCCTTACACAGCACCTGGGGTAGACAATCAAACCTCTGGGTGCTGTCAGGGTATGACTGGGGCTCCTTCTTCAGGGTTGCCTTCCGATTTCCCCTGGACAGGTACAGCTGTCTGTATGCCGTGCTTTGGTCCAGTGTGAGCTGACAGGCATCTGCATTAGGAGACAGTTCACGTCACTGTCTAAAAGCATCACGTGGAGAGCGCATTTTCACGGTAGCACTGTGCATGTTTGAATAACCCTCCACTTATTTATGAAGTCAGAATTATTTGTATACTTATCTCCTGCTTCCATAAAATTTGCTGCTGATGAGGACTTGCTCAAGGAAAATGGATAAATTGTTTTTCTGTAAGCTTTAGTCATTTTGCCCCCAGTACGCATCATGTTTGCTTTAACTTGTTTATCTTCTTAATGTAAATTTAATGCTTTTCATTTTAAACAATCATTGTTCTGCTGCTGGCAACATCATTTATCAAAATACTGGGCCTACAAAATAAAAGAGGACAAAACAAACAGAGCTCCCCGATGCTAGCAGGGAAAAATGCACTATTCTGCTTTTGTTGATTTTGTACAGACTGTCAGGAAACGTCCCTCCCTGGACTCTGCTGGGAACTTCAGTTGCATTGTGATTAATTTCCAAACAATGCCAATGATTGTTATTGTATTAATCAGAAAGGGGGCCGGGTTAAGATATGTGAGCGCCAAGCTTCTGTGTCCTACGGCTACTGTCATGAGTCAAAAAGCATCTGCTGCATTTTCCTTAACAAGTGAGGACAATGTTCAGACTGTGAATTCTCCCAAACACATGCTGGCAACTGGAAGCAAGTGATGTTCAGCGAAGCAGACAAATGACAAACCCAAATCCCCATTTGTGTCAAATGTGGAAAACACCAAGTGAACCCTTAAGACCCGTAGAAAAAGCTGAAAATCCAAGAAAAAAAACATGCTTTCTGCTTTGTGTGGCAGGTGAACTGCTACAAAAAATGGCTGCTATCCAAGGTTTGGATGCCACCCCTCCACCAGGTCTCCAGAGGCGGGAACACGGCGCAGGTAAACATCACCTGCCTGATGGCTACGTTTCTATCCACCTCAGCCGGTCAGAGCTGGTGAGATACTTGCAAGATGTCACGGCCCGAGGGAGCGTATCGCGAATCTGGAATACCAGAAGTGCCACAACACTATTAACTATACTGTGTGTGAATCGATCATTCAGGTTCTCATTCATTTGTATGCGAAAGTCACTCTAGCTTTTCTGGAAAAGTCCCTTGGCTCGTTCTTCTGTCCTGAGGCACCTGCCTAACGGTCTGCAGCATCTGCGAGTGTCCAGCCGTCTTCCTCCTGACATTCCTCACCGCCACTGCCTCCGCATTTTGAGGATGTACTACGTAACCCCCCACGGAAGGACTGGCTCATTAGTTAACCAATGAATTCAGTCTGCAAGTGTGTGCTGTAGATCTATAGGCAGAGTTAAATGTCCCTGAAAACTTGTGTTTCACTTTAGATCAATATAGTTAGATGAATGGCCCAAACAGTTAGGCAGAGCATATAACCTGGTACAATGGTATGGACAATTCCTTAAAATCTATAAAAACCAACCATTTGAATCCGTGGCTGCCTGAGTCAGGACAACCGGCTACGTGCTAATTCTGCCTGTAGACTAACCGCACTCAGGAATGTAGCATGGAAGGCAGCTCCATTCTTGAGGTCACGTTTTTCAGTGGGCAAAGTGCCAGATCAGAGGTCTACATGTCTTTCATGGCCTTTATCTCTCGTTTTGGGATCCTAACCAGAGGTAGCATGTAAAATCCTCATATGAGTGACTTTAACAGCCCCATAAAAGCGGATCTGAATGTCTCCACTGGCAGCCCATTTGGCCAGTTCTCCTCCACCTTTCATTATTCGTCACACCGTGACACAGAAACGCTAATCAGCAGTAAAGACTCACATTTTAGGAAGTCGTCTCTCTGCCGAGGCTCCTGGGAAGGCGTTTTGTAGAGGCTCACGTCGTTTGCTGCAGAAATAGACAAGCGATGAAGATCATGCCGGTGCCATCAAAGAAACCCTCAACGCTGGTTATATTGAATCATTTTGAATATTTTCGGTCATTTATAATGTTTTCGAGACTAGCCGAACACTCAGAAAAACAAGCCTTTGCACTCCTCATGGGCAAAGATTATAGGCATTTGTATCGGAGCTTGATTGAGATGCCTTTGCTGAAGGGCTCTGATAGTGTAACGTGGCTCGGCTTGCTATTGTCAGAAAGCCCTTTGTATGCACAGCATGGGTCAACATCCAGCCTGACTTTCTGTATAATCAGCCAAGGCAAACAAGGAAGGACAACTGATAACCACAACAGTGTGGAGCACTAAGCTACCCGACCTCAGATGCTGATTAACTGCTTAGCTGTACCCTGAAAGCAATGACTGTGTACAACATTCACCCCCCAAGATTACAGTCAAAGTGACTGGGTGGGACCAAAGGGGAGTCTTCCCATGGTATTCCCCTGGAATTACCACAGCTAAACTGCTCTGCTGGCATGAAGGATCTTTATTGTCTTGATCAAGCTTTGGATTTTTTTAACAAGTGAACTAAATTTCCACTCAGGGCCACGTGTTCGGAGATGTAATCGAGCCTTTGTCACTCACATTTCATTGTGCGTCTTCTTTTTCGATCATCCAGCTGGCAAAAAGGCATCTTGTTCACTGTGAGTCGGAAAAAAAAACAGTGTGTGAAAAACCTGACAAATCATGTGTTTATGTTGAAGAGTTATACCCAAAAATGATGAGCTAATGGAACATCGACGTGATGAATGAAGAGCCAGGCCCTCACGCACCGGTCTTTGCGACCTTGACCAGCTCCTCATTGGTGTACTCATTCAGGTGCACCTTCATCTCAGAGACCGCTTTGGTGACCGGGCCGAAGGAAAAGTACGGGTTTACAGTCACGGTGGGTAACTCCTCGGCCTCCGTCTGGGCGATGAGCATCTGGAAGCTCTGAAACAAGCAAAATAGCCCAGCGTCAGCCAAAAAGTATCATAAATAAAAGCCATTGGGTTTTTTTCAGCCATTAGCGTGTCTTCTTTCATTGTTACTGTGACAGAATGCCTGTGATTGGTCAGAAAACCCCCTGCAGCAGCAACTCTCTCTGCCCATTAACATCCTGTTTACTTGATAGCAATTTGAGATACTGGTGGTGTCAGAGCATTTAAAAGAGAGTAAGGGCCAAATACAGGAAAGGAACGACTCTCCTCATACCCAAAGGACTTGGCAAATCCTTTTAGGAAGCTCATCTGGCAGGAAGCTTTGACCTTTGAAAGTCACCCCTGGAAGAGCTTTGCCAGTTTTACAAAGACTGGTGGGACATTAGGCAGAGTATCCTAAGAAATGACACTTTATTTGCCTTTTGTACAGGTGTTAGTTTTCACATATCCCATCTTGCTCTCCTTTGAAGCATACAAACACACGTGTAGAGGTGAGAGTGAAGTTTGTGGTCATGACGTAGGGTCAGCTGTCCATCCAGCGCCCCCATGTATTTTCGCTGAAGGTACAAATGGAGATGTGGCTGCTCTACCAAGCACAGGATTCGAATCAGTGACTTTCCAATCAAACCACTGAATCACACAGCTCCCCCTAGTGGAGGAGAACCATATGCACTCGAGCTGCTGTTAGGTGGTCACCTGGATGAAGTGGATGTGGTCTTCGGTGCGGGAGAGCTGCGTCAGCTCTGCATCCCGCTTCTTCAGGTCGGTGATCTCCTGCGTCAGGCGCTCCATGTGTCCCTCTGCACTGGTGGTGGCCGCCTTCTTGTTCGAGGAGATCAGCTTGGACATCTCAGCTTGCATCCTCTCGATGGAGCGGAGCATGTCGCCAAATAGCTTCTCGCTCTCTTGCAGGGCCCTCTGGGCAGAACTCTATGAAGGGGAGGAGGAACATGGGATTGAAAGCCTGCGAGATGATCTTCACTAACCATGGTCTGATGCAGTCAGTAGTCTCATAAACAAATCACCCTGCCCACTCTTTAATGGGAGATCAACTCAATTAAACTGTTAGGATTACCAATTAGCAGAAGTTATCTAACCACATGAATAGAGTCAGGCATGCCTTCAGAGCTTGCAGAGCCTGTCGGAGCTCCTCCATTTGCTTGACTCTCTCGTGGATCTTCTGCTGAACTTCGGCCTGGGTGGCTCCTAGCAGGTTCTGAGGAAAGAAAAAAGGGGTTTTTGAAAGCGAGTTGCCAAAATCTCATGAAGCAACAATTAATTCACAGCATGAATGAGGCAAAGTCTAAGTGATATCAGCTACTTCGTGACCGCACCTCCTTTGCAAACCTGCCCATGATTTTCTCAGCTGCATGCTAAAAGAAGTGACCAAATATTCACTTAGATGTCCCAAAACATTTTTTAGAAAAGTTTTTGCCTGGGAGAGCACAGTGTTTTTACGACTAAGACCTTTCAGGTGTCCAGTGTCAAAATAATGCATAGTGTAGCACGTTGCTATGCAACCAAAAATCACACAGAAGAATAACTGACACACCCAGTGCAGTTTATAACACAACAACTACTATCACCCCATAAAACACTGCTCTGATTTTCGGACCATAAGTTGGTTTCTTTTCAAAAGCACTCACCTTGAGTAAATTGATGAGAAACAAAACCTGTGCGATTATATGTAATAAACCCTTTAGAAGACACGGCAGGTGCAATAGACATGATTAATGAAGACTGAAAATGCCATAAGGTGGGCATTAGCATTGTTAATGCATTGTTGTCTCTTGGGCGCTTACTGCGCTTCTCCATCACGTGGTCGCACACGACCGTGTCCTGAGGACGCCTAGTAGCCGCCCGGCCTGCGCCCAGCTTTTCTGCACACCCCCAGTCACCGTACCTGCTTCTCCTGCCTCTCCTGCTCGGCAGACACCATGTCGTGGCCTTTGTGCTCCTTGACGGTGCAGAGGACGCAGATGCACATCTGGTCGGTGCGGCAGTAGAGCTCCAGCCCCTTCTGGTGCTGCGGGCAGATCTGCCGGTCCAGGTGCCCGGTCTCGTCCACCAGCTTGTGCCGCTTGAAGGTGGCCGACTCGAAGTGTGGCTTCAGGTGCTTCTCACAGTAGTGAGCCAGGCACATCAAGCAGGACTTCACCGCCTTGTGCTTCTTCCCGATGCAGATGTCGCAGCCCACATCCTGCGGACCGGCGTAGTTGTAGTCCGGATCTGGGGGCGGCGGCGGATACGACTCCCGGGGTCCACCGGAATACCGGGACACCCGACGGGGGTTGGGCCTCTTGCTGTAGGACACCTTGCACTGGGGGCAGACGTATGAACCCGTGTGGTCGGCATGGTCCCAGTAGGTGCTCAGGCAGACAGAGCAGAAAACATGTCCACAGGAAATAGACACGGGGTCCCGGAGGTCCTCCTTACAGAGATAACAGATTTCCTGATCCGATGCCATCGCTGCACGTTCGCCTATCTGCTATCCTGCTCAAGCCGCTGGCAGGTCAAGTGGAGACTGACGCAACACGGTTGCTGCAGCAATTTATACTGAGTACATAGGGAGGGTTTTATGATAAACAGGTTGAGCAGAAACTAGTGAAAGAAAGGGGTGTGTCTCACCTGGGCCAAAGGAATAGTCCAGTTCCGTCACGAGAAATCCAACGAGAGGGAGGAATGATGAAAGTATGTGAGCTGATGATGAGTTTACCTTTGAAAGTAAGAGCTGAACGGACAGTCAGACGGAGCTACAGCATGCAGGTTTTCAGCGAGAGTCAGAGATGCCGACGTTATCGTTAATAAAATCATGTCAGTGGTGCTTTGCGGAAAGATCATGCCAGCACATTTACATTTATTTTATCTAGCAGACACTTTTGCCCAAAGCGACATACAAGGCAAATAGCACATTGCAAACATATGACTGTCGAGGAGTCGATTAGGCACAATTGTGGCTAGGCTGAGCTTCCAGGGAATGCCCAGGTACGAGTGTAAGCAGCGTAGGAGCAAGAGCTACACAACAACTTCCAAACAAAGCAAGAAATTAATTAAACTACTATTCAATCAGCAGAAAGTGCAACATTAAGAGCATCCAGGGAGCATGGAGTAGAGTCGGACTGTAGAGGGGCTCCTGGAACAGATGTGTCGAGGCATGTGGGGGTTTTCCATGAGAAGCATATGCAAACCAGCAGGGGGTGGCGCATAGGATCATCTTAACTGTGAGGGTCCAGCTTCACAGGTGCAGGACCGCTTTCAACCAGGCAAAGCTAATGCCTTCAGGGCAGATTTCATGGAAGACCATCAGAGAGGAGCACGCTGTTGTCAATGCGGCCATATGTGTTAGCATAAAGCACCGGGGACCAGCTGAGCACTTAGGGAGCTGCACTCTGCACGTTTCCAAATGCTGACCTCCTCTCACTCCAGACCCTCAAAAAAGCAGCCAGACAAATCCACAGCCCCGCTGATTGAAGGCTGAACACAGCCTTTTACACTTCTCCACAACATCCGAGTTGCTGAAAGAGAAATCGCTGTTTGGGCAAACAAGGGGAAACATTCAAGTTACTCGTTAACCCAGTCTCTACTAGAATCATTTATCGCGCTTTCGGTAATTTGGTTATATGTTGCAAAGGGTCTTCCTGCTGTATCAGTAATGGCAGAATGACCTTTCATTTCCTCTCCTGTTCCTGCAGTATTTAGCTTCACTTCCCCATTTTCAGTTAATTGTGACATCATCAACCTAATCTGAGATTCAAGTTGTTATTTTCATGCAGTCAGTTACACTAGTGAGATACACTGTGCAATATCACACAGAGTGTAAATTGCACTGTTTAATCTCTGAGAGCAGCCTGGTATTTTCAAATATAACCCTGCACATCCTGTACATAACCAGAAACTGCTGAAGTTGGTTTCCTATTTGGTTTATGTATAAATATTCCTCACTGAATGACTATTGGTTGCAGTGGCATAATCGAGCCAGGAATGTGGCCAGGCCAGACAAGCGGGATTACACAAGGGTTGCACAAGGTTTCACGTTGCCGTTGTGTGGGTGTGTTACGCTGACTGGGATCGAATGTGCAGGAATGCCTAGGCCACACACTCACATGCTCGCACGCTGCACCGCAGGCTAAGGAAATATTTCATGTGATCCGTATCCCGAAACTACTGCACGCTTATGAGTCGTGTTTGCTTTTTTTGAGAACCTTATCTCAGCTAGTTAAGAAATTATGGCAGCAGGCAGGAGAACATTCACAACATAAATTAAACATTCATTTTCAGAGCCCTGTAAAAAAAAATATGCCAGTATTACAAGAAGAGCATGTTTCCTTTGGAGAAAACCGCAGGAATGCAAAGCATCATTTCGCCACAACTGGGAAAGCCAGACTGATCACGGAGATCTGACTGAAAGATAATTTAATATCTACATCCAAAAACTCTCCTGTTTACTGTCCTCTGTGCCACTTTTTTTATAATAGCTTGGATGTTGTTATCGTACTTTTGGCGAACCTAAAAACACAAATAATTACCCTCTGAATGTTGAATCAACACAACTTCAATGGCAGGAAGTCACAACCCAAGACCGCAGATGCTGTAATAGCTACAGGAGTCTTTTATCTGAGGGTGGGTGAGAAAGCCAGCAGCTCAAGGCGCTGGGGAACAGGGCTGGCTGATACTTCAAGGGCTTTCCCTGTAGCTGGCTGCCCCTCTGTGGGGGGTGGGGGGGGGGGGACTGAGCAGGCCTGCTAGCCGTACACGGTAACTGAATCAGGCCTGCCAGGCAGCACATCGACATGCAGTGCCATGTGAAAAAGCCAATCAGCGCTTCACGTCGACTTAAAAGCCAACACAAGTCAAGCAAATCATTTACCTTAATGGTTTCCACATAGTTTGCTTCGTTATTTCTGGTCTTTCAACAAACATTGTAGTTAACAAGACCCATTTCTAACTATGTGGGCTGATTAAAAGCTCCACGGGCTGAAGGTTCATGCTGAGAAACCAAACACACGACACCATGCTCTCGTCTTGTTTAGATTTTTATATGCGGTGCACTGGGCTGTGACTACGCGCGCTTGCTGTTTACGCTGTTTACCAAGCGCTCACCGCTGGCTCTCGTGGAGGCCGAGCTCTCGCAGCCTGGCACAGGGCCCAGCTCCCCTGCTCTCTCCCACTGTGTACCTTTCCAGCTCACAAAGGTAGCCATTGTTTCAAGAGGAACACTTGTAAATACCTCGTCTGCCTGCGTCGGCCAATCGCGTCCGCAGCTGGGACCTCAGCCCCTTCCCCAATATCTACTTCCCTTAGATGCCATTCCATTAAACTAATGTCCGCTAGGTGCTTTACGTTCATTCCACTGAATTTAACGACCGCATAAAACCCACCTGTCTCCCCCAGATGAAGGAAGACCTTACAGAAAACTTAGAAGAGATGGATTTGCCCATTAATTTATAATGGCAATATGTTTTACAACAATCTTTAATTATACAGGTTGCCATGTTAAAAGTGACTTAATGTAAATCTTAAATCCGTTTGTATAAACGGGGGGGTTTGCTGTTCTTTCTGTGGTTTTGCTGTCAGTCTGAAGGCAGTGATCAGGTTAATCAGTACCAGATCGCTGGACAAAAAAGCTCCTATGGCGGCTTGTCAACACTGTGGGGGGGGGGGGACTTATCAGAAACCTGACTTCCTTATAAGGAGAAAGGCGAAACTCTGTACACGATGAAAGACACGCAGAGCAGTCAGGGCAGTCAGATACCGGCGTGTAACACACAGGCCAGCCAGATACCGGTATGTAACCACCCAGCATGACAGCATATGTGAGGACTGCCGCTATTTGCCTGTCAGAAATATCACCAAATAGATCGCATTCCTCTTGAAGAGTCGCATTTGGGGGCGGGGCGACTGACAGAGCCCTCAGATTAAACTTTCAACGACTTGGAGAGTACCCATAATGCATCTGGATGAAATCGAGCTACACATATGCGGCATGTGGAAAGTTCTCACCGGCCCCACCCACAGGCAGAGAACCCTTATAGGAAGGGGCGGCATCAGGCGAAACCCATTCACACCAACAAACAAACGCCATTAGAGGAGAGGGTCACGCCCAAGTGCCGTGTCCGTTTCCAGAGGAAGTCCAGCTCTCAGGAAACCGACCTTTGAACCCGGTGTGGACGTGCTGGGATAGAGTGTGGCTCAGTGTCGCTCTCACTGCACTCAGACACTCCAAAAACATTGCTGAGCTCCTCTGTCAGTCTTGGATGGCAAACACGTGAATCAGGAGTTTGTATTGATATGTCTCGGTGACGGGACACACGCTCCTGAAACGCGTGACGTTTGCCTATTTAGCCCTCACCCCCAAACCGGTTCAGCAGGGCGCCATTCAAACACGGGGAGTCCGGCATCCCTGCTGCAGCTCGATAACAATCAGCCAGTCCCTACCTGCTCATTTGTCTGGGCAGCAGAAATGTAACCGGCAGCAATCAGCCATGTTGAGCAAACACCACATAGCGCCTGTACACACCCTCACCGCGCCCCCCCCGACCGTCAAAAGGTGCTGCCAGATTGGGAGAAACAAATCACCAGAACACAAGAGGCAAGAAAAAACTATAGTAGCAGACTTAAGAACTTTAAACATGTGATAAATAAATGGAGGACTGTAATCAGTGCTGTAATCACGCCCGGCAGGCAGATTTGCCATTTCGCAGTACGGACGCGTGTCCTTCCAGCTTTGCCCCCCCGCCCATACTCGGAGTTCTGTCTTACAACTCATTCATCTGCCAGCAGCCGACCCCGCCCCCTCTCTCCCTTAAGTCCGCCCCAGTTTCAGTTGCCGTCGCTCTGCCTGTTTTATCTGAGCCTGGGTTTTGCTCTGCTCAGGCACTCAGAGGCGAGAGCTCTGCTTGTCCACTGCCAGCCACTGGAGCTCAGCACGCTGCTGAGGAACTGCTACGCTGCACTGCGTTGTTACGCTACACTGCGCTACGCTAAACATGGCCGACCCCCTGTCCCCCGACCACTTCAGCTGCCCTCTCTGTGTGGGCATTCTGAAGGACCCTGTGGCTATTCCATGTGGACACAGCTACTGCATGGACTGCATCAGCAGCTACTGGGACGAGGCCGACTACACGGGCATCTATGTCTGCCCCCAGTGCCGCATCACCTTCACGCAGAGGCCCGTGCTGCGGCCCAACACCATGCTCACCAAGGTGGCCGAGAGGCTGAAGAAGGGGTCCAGCCCCCCCGTGGGGACCAACAGCTATGCGGGCCCCGGGGACGTGCCCTGCGACTTCTGCATCGGCAAGAAGTTCAAGGCGGTGAAGTCGTGCCTGAATTGCCTGGCGTCGTACTGTGAGAAGCACCTGAAGCCACACTACGAGTCAACCACCTTCAAGCGGCACAAGCTGGTGGACGAGCTGGGTAACCTGGACCGCAAGATCTGCCCGCAGCACCAGAAGAGCCTGGAGCTATTCTGCCGGACTGACCAGATGTGCATCTGCGCGCTCTGCACCGTCAGCGAGCACCGGGGTCACGACATCGTCTCGGCCGAGGCGGAGAGGAGCGAGAAACAGGTGAGGAGCGTTCCGGAAAGCGACTTCTTTGCCGTTATTATTACGGTGTGGGAATCCCACAGGGGTTCAGGACAGCAAACGTCCTGGGCTGATACAATGGGTAAGAAATGCAGGTGAAAACTGACACTGAGTGACAAAATGACAGGAACTGTGTGATTAAGCTTCTTGGAAAATGAGAAGGCATTACAACGTCAGGAATAAGAACGCAAAAGCCAGCCTGCGATTTTACATGGTTTATGGACAGTTACTGGTAGATGATTCATGTTTTAGATTTCATGCATATATTACTGTAGAGTCAAAATGCAAGGCAACTAAGAGCGCTACTAATGGTTAACTTACCAAACTCAGTGAGTATTTCTGATCACATATTTCTCGAGCAACACACCCTTTTGTTTTGTGTTAGATAAAAGGTGGAACAGATGCTTGAGGAGGATTAAATGAGCCAAGACACAGGAATGTTACTTGCGGCGGATCTGTAGTAGTTTTTTTGAGGTTAAAGAATGTGTGTGCTGTGAACTTTGCACCCAGGGAATGATGCAATGTTCCCTAGCAGATGTCGTTGGAGATAAGGGTCCCGGTGTGCCGATTCACTGTGAATCAGTGCCTGATATTCCCAGTGAATTACTCAAAGCTGCTGCCCCGTATTCCCACATGGGAATAATCATCTCCTCCACAACTCTGCTAAGAATTGCCACACCCAAACTGAACTGGAAATCGTAAAACAAAGATGCGTGACTCGCCTCTGAATTCAAAGACTCTCTAGGTATCGTGTATCTGCTGTTAAAGTTAATACTATTTCGATACAGCACAACTCATATGGCCTGGTTGTGTTTTGAAAAGCAGAGCCTGTCTTGCCCACCTAAGACTCCTGAGCTTCTCCTTGCTTATCCTGGTTATCCTTCAGCCATGCTAAAACTTTGTTTGACTTTCAAAGATGTGCACACTTTGTAGCGGGTCCTGGGCCTGCCCACGCTCTCACATTCCTGGCATGATTCAGATTCCTGGCTTCCTGTGAGATAAGGCAGCCCCCGGCCATGCAGGAGGCCTTAACACCCGCTCACTGAAGCTACACCGTGCTCCCTGCTCTGGCAATTTTCAAAACGCCGGTGTTTCCGTGAACCGGTAGTGCAGCTGAGGACTGAGGGCCAGCCACAGACGTTACCATGAGCCCACATCTGATGGCCTTACAGCATGTTTCCTACACTGCTTCCTGGCTGGAATTTCCTGTCCTGAATTTCCTGAAGAAAACGGTGTTAGAAAGCATAATACAGATGTGAGGGATGCACTGTAAAGGCTCATTAGGACCGTCTAATGTTCCTTATTTTGGCTGCTTTCCCCTTTTTTTTCCTGCGCAGAAACTCCTGGGCGCGTCCCAGGCGGAGATCCGGCAGAAATGCCAGGGGAGGATGAAGGAGCTGGAGGAGCTGCGTACGGCTGTGGACTCGCTGAAGGTGCGTGACATCGGAGCACCGGCAGGAAGCTGCCGGCCAGGCATTTCAATCCCAGGATGCAGCTTTCAAACACCACACAGCCGTTTATGGGCAGACCTAGGAATTCTCCCGGAGGAGTGTAGCTGCTCAAGAAATTCATAGTAAATATAATTCCCTGGGTGTATCTTTAATACATTTGGCTTTAGTAAACGATCTACAGCAGTGTTGCCCAATCCCACAGCCAGTCCACATTTTTGCTCCCTCCGAGCTCCCTGCCATACAGTCCACATTTTTGCTCCCTACCAGCTCCCAGTAGGGTCTATGGGTCCCCGAGGACTGGATTGGGAAACACTGATATACAGTATGAATCTACAGCACAGTGAAGTTTCATATGAAAGAGGGTACAATTTGATCCATTCAACCAGTAAGTTCTACACCTACGTTGCT